TAGTCTGGGGCAAGTGTATAGATACTTTATTCCTTTGGGATTCCACCTTAGAAGAAGAAGAATATATACTTTAATAATCCCCTAGGAGAAATTGTTCTTTTCACTCTTTTTTTTATATACACACACAGGCTGAAATACACACTTCACTTTGCACTTGTGGACAGGCAAACAGGGAGAGAGATGGTGGAGTGATAGGGCTGCCACGTTAACAGTGAGCAGGCTTGGGGTTAGGTTGCCTTGTTCAAGGGCACCTCGGCAGTGCACAGGGGGTGAAACCTCTCCAGCTACCAGTCCACACATATTTTTGTGGTCTGTGGGACTTGAACCGGCGACCCTCCGGCTAGTACAGCACTGTGTCAAATGCAACTGGGACTGGATTGTTTGGTCCATCTTACAGACTGCTCCCAAGGTTTCAGCTGGTTAGAGGGGTCATTAGGATGGAATAATAGTAAATCAACTTTCTTGCCTGAAGACAATAAACCATACATAAAAAGCTGTGTTTCTTTCGTCTTTCCTTGCAGCCATTATTTGACCTGCAGCAGTAACTACAGCAGCAGTAACACAATGTTGTGCAGCGAAGAAACATAATATCATAATATAATAAGAAGACTGAACGTTCACATGGCATTGAGCTCTCTTCATTTATTAAGCACATAAATGACCTAAAAATCAACTCAAAATTAATCAAAGTTGGCCCACTGGGAGTTGAAATATGGCCACTTCCAGTTTAAACAGCCATTTTGTATTTTGAAAATGACAGAAATAGATTCAACATCCTCAGTAAACCCCAAATCATTCCAATATTGTCCAAATCGGACCAACAGTTGCTGAAATATTGTCCATATGTATGTATAGGTGATTATGCAAATTAATGCAAATTGCCCAACATATACAAGTTAGCATCTGGCAGTTCCTGTATGCTGGGGACCCATACTTCACATTTCTAACATACGTTTTATAAGTATGTACGCTTTTTCATAAAAGTACACAGAAAGAACATATGTATCTTTTCTCACTCATCAGCCATCCTTACCATAACAACCCTACTTTTAAGCAAAGGAATTCTGACAGCGGCTCCGTTTGCACTCAGCGTTCAATGTCGGTCAAAAACATGCCACTGCAGTGAGCTGGGGGTTTTTTTTTTTTTTTAATTGATATGTTACTTGACATGTATTTTACTGCTTTGATATTGAGAGTGTTGACGCAATGTTACTGAGAGTTAAAGCATCATATCTCTGCTAGAAAATATAAAAATTCTGAGTTGTAGATCAAGTCTTTTACTTTCTTACTGTATTTGATAACTTTTGTACTTTTGTTAGTGTTGAACTGTTTACACTTGAAGCGTGGCTACCCAGTTATGCACTGCTAGTGCTAATGATAATGTGTAAAAATGTGTCAAATACCTGATGTGTTGCTACTCAGTTCATGATTTAAAGAGGTAATGTGTGTATTTCGAAAATGTAAAGGGTCTGACGTTAGTTTGAGGCTTAAAGAATTAAATAATCATACATCATTGGTTAAAAAAGCTTAAAAAATGGCATGAATGGTGTAAAAATTATAATATACTTCATATGAGAAATGCTGTATAGTTAAAATTGTTTCATTAATTTATTTACTATTTTATTTACTAGTCTTTTGAAAATTTTGACCTGATTTAATATAGTATGGCCACAGAGGACTGGAATTTCATGACTTAGTATAATAATACCCTTGTTTTTGTACAGGCTAGGTTTTGAAATTTCCTGGAAAAACCCTTAGATTTTGGATTATCCTTGACGAAGGACATGGCGAGCCAGTACTGAACCTGATCCTTATTCCAAGAAGTTGTACCAAGATCACCTTTTGCCCAGAGGAGGAGACCACCCCAGCCTTCATTCCCCATCACTTACAGGGTACAGGGGTGGTGGGACTGTGAAAACCTCACACCTTGCCACTTGACTTGTTGTGACAGACCTTAAGCACTTTAAAACTGAAACCTACTATCTGAATAAAGTCATCTGAACTGATGACTACAAAGGAACAAACTTGAACTTGAGTGGATCAAAGGAATCCTGAACTCTATTAATCCTGAACTCTATTCCATACTGGAGACATTGTCCTTTGTTGCTGTGAATTGTGTATGTAGTATAACCATTTTAGGTTCTTTATGTTAATTTGTAAACAACACATTTTTTCATAATAAAACTTTCAATACATTCACATTTCAAGTTAAACTGTGACTCAAGTTGCTTACTGTGTCTCTCATTCTCTTTCAACTCCTCCTATGAGCCTAGACAGTTTTATATTTAATTGTTAGTAGTATGTACAGGGAGATGGTGGAACCACCTGCTAGGCATTGCTGCCGGTCGCACCTCCTCCGGTGCCCACGTCGCTGCAGGGTCATCAGCAGGAACCACCGATCACCAACGTTTCGCTCCTTTATCCTGGAACTTTCCTGTGGCGGAGCAGTGACAGGGACGTCTCCCTGTCCCCCCCTGCAGCTGATAGTGTTCCCCCCCTGCGGCTGTGTTGGGTTCGTTTTCTTTCCCCAGTACTTGTGCTTCCTCTCAGCCAGAGCCAAAATGCTCCCCTTTTCAGCCTCCTCTGCCAGCTCTTTTGGTTGCTTCTTTAGGTTCCTTCCGGTCACTCCCGCGTCCCTCAGTAGCGCGTGTTTGTTGACAGCTCACGTAGCCTCGGCATCCGACTTCCACTGGATAGATTGTAGTCTTCCAGCCAGCGTCCGCACTCAGCGCCAGCTCTACAGTACTTGGCCTTTTTTCGCTCGTAGGCGACTCGATCCCTCTTCTGCTGGTACTGTGGAGCTCAATGAGTAGCACCGACTTTGCTTAGGTGGACCACGCATATGTCAGGGGCGGAGAGATGTGGAAGTGACCTCTCGATCGGCGAAACGGAGCGCTGTCGAGTCTACTCTCCATGTGCCACTCTGGTCAGGCGGAGAACGCCTGGTTTTCTCTGGCCTGATGTTTCATATCTCTCTCTT